TGCTTTAAATCTTTGTTTCTTCAGGCCAAATCTCATTAGAGGGGCCTTCTCATGTAGGTGCTCTCTGCAGACATTGTGGAAATGGACCGTGTCTGTCAAGGTCCTGAGATATTACCTTCTGACTCAATAAGCTGCCGTCTGTTCCCTCTCCATGTAACACCCTCTGAGTACGACCGCTGGTGCATGCTGACTGCTTTGGTTTAACAGGGATGCGCATGGATTGGCAGGTGCCACTGGGGCCCAAACATAATCCAGAGCTGATTGTGCATGCTGCTCTGCTACCCTTTGTGCTGTTATTTGTGAGTGTCTATGTCCCCTTTGTCATCGAGAGAAATATATAGGCTTACCACGGAGACCAGGGAGATGTATAATAAGATTCATTTAACTTCCCAAGACAGATGGGAGCGTTATGTGCAGTGTGGCTTCCTCAGTAAACGGGTGCCTTGAAAAACAATGTTAGGGACTCAAATTGAGCCATAGCTTTTTTTTTTTCCCAAAGGGGTTGTTAGTTGATTGACAGGAAGAAAAGGTTATTTAGGTCACTGTCATTAAGATTTGTAATTTTTTCTTACAAGACAGTCTCCTCTTGCCCTTCTCATTGAAGAAGCTGGAAAATTTATAGATTGTCTGACGTGGCATGACACTTGTGTTTCAGAGTAGGGAAGCATTACATCTGTACCAGGCCATCCAGACATCAGGTGTATGATTTTTTTTTTTTTGAGTTTAATGCTAGCAGGACTCATTTTCCAAGAGCCTTGGCAAATTGTATGCCTGGATAAAGAATTTGCTATAACAACTAACTGTGTGTGTGTGTGTGTCTGCTTGTGATAGCAGGTGTTGGTGTGTACCCACAACAAGAGCACATCCAGCCCATGCTGCCAGCTTGGGTTTACAATGACAGCCTTGTCCCAGGTAAACATTTACACACAAAAACCTCCCGTGTAACATTGCAAATATTCACTATTATGTGCAAAGAAATACCACTAAACTGTATTGATTTTCAGGTTACTTGTTTCTAACATATAAAAGTCATTTCTTTTCTGTTTTTGTCTCTTCAGAAATGTTCAAGAAGGTTCTTGAATTCACCATGACTCCGGCAGGGATAGACACCGCCAAGCTCTACCCAATATTAATGTCATCAGGTCTTCCTAGGGAAGCCCTGGGGCAAATCTGGGCATCAGCCAATCGCACAACACCTGGCATGCTGACCAAGGAAGAGCTCTACACTGTACTTGCACTAATTGGTGTGGCACAGGTAAACATTGAGCTTAAGACAAATTATCCACTCAGGACGATTTCACTAATCATTCTCTGTGGCTTTGACGGAGCTGCGCCATTAACTCTGCACTGAAGTTAGACAGGCTCAGCTAGAAACGGAGACAGAAGAAGCTCTGTGAAGCAGCCTGGGGCTTCTGAAGCATTGTGTGTAAGATATGGCTGAGTCCTCATCAGCCGAGTTTGGCAGGAGGCCTCTTATTATCCTCAGCCCGAGCCTGTCACCACCACCCCTGGGAGGATGCAAATCTGCAGGCAGCTCACAAAACACTGCACGCCACTGCTTCCATGCGGGAAATATTAAGACACCTTTGGTGATATAAATCTTCAAGAGCTTAAAAACACATGCACTTTAAGATGCATTTTTTGATGAGGGGAAAAAAAAGTTTGAGTCCGACAATGACATCTCTTCAAAAGCAACTTGGCTGTGTTGAAATGAAAATGTTTTTTTTGTTTTTGTTTTTAATAGTTCCGTGTATATTAGTAACGACTGAGCTGTGATGTCTCACTTGATCTTTGTCATTCTCAAATGATCTCTCATGGTTTAACTGATGATTTAATTTCAGAAGAGAAATTAAACAGTGTATTTTATGTGCTACATTCTTATATATGAAATGGTGAAATATTAAAAAGACCTCTTGATGAATAAGTTTGGTGTTATTGTAATATTTTTGTTGCCAACAAATCCCAAAAAGGGTAAAGTATCACCAACTCTTTCCTGTAAAACATTGTCCTCAGTTTCAGAGTGGCCTCCCAGCCTTGAATGTGGAAATCCTCAGTCAGTTCCCTTCTCCACCAGTGCCCAACCTACCTGCTCTGGCTATGGCCATGGCCCCTGTCATGCACCAGCAGCCCATGATGACCCAGCCCCCAGTCTCTATGGCAGTGCCCACACCGGCACCACCGGTCATGGCAATGCCGCCTACAGCACTGGCTCAGCCACCCACAAACACTAATTTCATTGCCAGCTTCCCTCCTGCACAGGTAACACAGCCATGTTTCCAGTTTAGACGTTTACGCTTGTTTCATGCACAGATGACTGTAGTTAATCATAACTCGAATCTTACTAACACGTTGTTGACATAGGGGACCAAAGCCGATGACGATGACTTCCAGGACTTCCAGGAGGCTCCAAAGGCAGGAGCAGGAGACCAGGCCTTCACTGAGTTCCAGGGGGAGTCAAGTGGAATTTTCCCCACCACCATTGCACCTCAGCACCAAAACAGGTATAGGGTATGGGTGTGATGGAGACCCAGAACAAGACTAAATGATGGAATAATTTTTTTTATTATTATTATTGCAGCATGCTGTTTTAGTTTTAGCCCATATAATGAACAGTGTCCTAAAAACTTGAATGTTTTTTCCACCAAATGCTGATTTTACATTACAAGAAATAGACATTTTCAATGTTCCTCATTATCTCTGTCTCCCTGTGCACAGCAGCTACTTCAGCTTTTCAGAAGAAATTATGTGAATGTTTGCAGTGATGAGTAGCGTACATTCAGCCATGGATGCTTATTTATAACTGAGTTATTCTGCATAATATTTGTATCTTCCATTGTCTATCTTGGAAACCTTACAGTCTGGCACACTGTCTTAATATCTCGCAATAACCTCCTCAGAATAACAATGAGTTTGGGTCTCTAAATTAATTTTAGTGGACACTAGATAAGCTCTTCTTTATATTACTTTCCAAGCCCACATGGAGAAAACGTCCTTTCACAGAGCGGAAGCTGAAAGGCAATTATCTGCTGGAAGACAAAGAGGAAGCAGAACCAAAGTGGCACAGGTGTTTTAGAATCCCCTCCTATATCTCTCCTGAAAACACACACTTCTCACTGTTTCAGCAATGTAATAAGAATTCCCCACAGTCTGAGATCATTGTCTCATTAAATGAGAAGCTAAAAAGCTCATGTTGGGTTGCCAGGCTGTAGTAGCAGGAATAACTTACTGTCTGATGTCTTACACAGAAAGAGCTTTGAAGTAACGAACCTCTACTGGAAAATGAGCTTTGGTGCTTTATTCGGCTATGTGTTCAGATGAGCTACTCTTGTTAAAGATGTGAGATAAGAACACAACGCTGGTGCTCCTACTATCGTATTTTCTTTGCTTGTGGTACATTTTGAAACAGCATTTGCTTTAAGGTTTATAGTTTGACATTTTGGGAATATACTGTGTGCTTTCTTTCTGTGGAGCTGCATGAGATGATCGATGCCACCCTCTTTTCTGTGCAGTAAATATGAAACTGCTGGCTCTGAGCTGTTCAGGGAGATGTATTGTTATTCTTATCTAACTCCCTACTAGAAAATGAAGTAGTGTTGTTCCTCTAATGTTGAATGAGACCTTTAAAGTCAGCTTGTTTTGAGGCAAGGCACTAGCAGACAAGTTAAAAACTCTCAAAAAGGACTTTTAAATCTGAAAAATCTAAAAATTAATTGCAACCAGTTCAACAGAGCTGGTTTAAAGAAATGCTCATTTTTAATGGCTGTTTGCTGCAGTTGTTTATTTACTTCTCTTGTATGACCCACTTGTGCAGCGGTGCTTGTAAATGAAACTTATTTACCTAAAATGTGTCCTTTTTGATTAAGTATAATGTCTTATTTACCACCTTTATATTGTACAAAGACATGGGTAAAAGTGTCCCTGCATCAGCTGCATATCCAGCTTCATCATAATGGTTATCATTACAGAGTATTAAAACAATTGTCATACAAAACCTCTGTCACTCTCCGAGCTTTCAGAGCCCAGGACAAATGTTCAATCAGCCCAGGCAGGGTATGGTCACTGAACTCCACACTTTTTGGTGTCACTCTGACTATTGCTATTGTCTCCCAGCAGCACTTCTGCCATGCTGACTCCAGTGTCTGGTACCACCTCCGCCTCTGTCACATCCTCTGATAAGTACGCTGCCTTCAAGCAGCTGTCTGTGGATCAGCCTGCAGAGCCTGCTCCCCCTGCCTCAGGTATCTTTTATACCTCATACAGTGTGGACGGTATGTCTGGCAAACCTTGGGCTGAAAAAATAAATTAGGTTAGGGAAAATAGGGTACTCAGTGAGTTAAACCAACACAGCGACACAGAGAATGACATAGCTCCTGGAGGACTGAAGAATTGATTGAAAGCCGAGTGATACCATCACCTCAGTTCTTCACATACAGTATTTCATCATGAAACAGCCGAGACGTAGTGCAGCCACTGTTTCTGAGGTTCTGAAATATTATCTTATTCTGTCCATCTAGGGTAATACAGCAATTTTTACTTCTAAAATAATATTGATCCCTGAGGGTTACCTACTGCCTGAGCACAAGACTTCTCAAATTGTAACACAGAGGGAGCGATTTCCAGAGCAGCTCAAATGTGGCCCCTGTTTTTTTTTGTTTGTTTGTTTGTTTGTTTTTTTTTTATGGAAATGTTTGTGACTAGATACAAACTCCTTGTTTTGTCTTTAACCCTTGCCTACATATTCAGTTTGTTATATTTTCTGTTCATACTCTACCCAATCTTCTTCTGATCTAGATGTTGGAGACAAGTACAGTGTTTTCAGACAGCTTGAGCAACCTGCTGACAAGAAACCTGTCGGTAAGAAACTCAGCCAGTCATTCTTTCACAATCAAGTCAACACTCATGCACCTAATGTACATATTAGCAAATTCACCTTTTGTTCTGAGTATAATTTTGAGTATTCCCCAGTGCAACCCCTTGGGCACCAAACACAGAAGACAGTGGGCTCTGAGATGGTCCCTGCAAGCAGAGGGCTAAAGGACAGGAGAGACCTTCATAAACAATATTACATGCTCCTTAGAAAACAAATCTTGGTTGTGTTTTGGTTGGAATTTGCAGTGAAGCATTGGTGTTAGAGTCCCTCTAATTAAACACTGTATTATAACTACAGCTGCCAGGTCACGGTAATGCCATATTACCATTGTTCCATATTTACACTGTGTCTTGTTTTGCAAGTATGCAGTGTTGATCCCAGTGTGTTTCCGTCCCTGTTTCATTAGAACAGTTTCCGATGGGGACAGCTCTTACAACTCCAGTAAGTCATGCCTTGCAGTGACCTTTCCTTGGCATTGTCAGGCTCCATCTCCTTAATGAGCCCATTAGTTATCTCCTTTCCTCTGTACAACAGCAGTGTGAACAGATTCTCTATTTCAGTCCATGCATATATTATATCACAGTGGATTAACAACCACTGAAACTCAAGAACATATTCTTGCTTTTTTCTCTGGGGTTTATATCAGCGTCATGTTGCACAATTTTGAGATAAAAAGACGGTACTTAAAATATTGCTACAGAAATTGTTAAAGGGTACATGGAGTTTCATTCCAAAAAAGACCAATCTCAATTAGTAACTTTAGTTACTGCTGAATCATATTCAAAGGAACAACAAAAACATTATGCTAAGCTACTTAAAGATAAAACTACTTTAAGATTGTTGCAGCTGATCTATAGAATCAGATCTTTGTGTTTCTTTGTGAACTGCAGCCTGGTCCTCTTTGAGCCTTACCAGGGGTTTCCTTCTTGCACTGAATCGTCTGAGGTTATGGTCATGCACTCTGATCTTGATCATTGACAGAAACATCCTGGACAACAGTTCCGACTTTCTGTGTAGCCTTGCAGTTTGAACTGTACCTGTTATAAGGGATAAAGCTCACACACACAGTTCTTTTGGTATTGATGTAACCCTGCTCAAATTAAAGCTCAGGGCATTGCCTATACTGATGCACAGAACCTGTAGAACCAAACCAAATGTACAGCTGTCCAAATGTTTATGGTGTGGACTGTAAAACACACTGTAGGATAAGTTGGGTTTTTTCTTTAAGTAAATCAGTATTTAGAGTCGGTATTAATCCCAGATCCAAACCATTTTAACATTTATATTGCACCTGTCCCTGAAGAAAAACATCTTACATTTACAATAACATTTGTTTCTGTGATACATACAGAAACAAGGTGTAACTACTGCAGTCGAAGTTTTCACTGTGCCTTTCTTATTCTGCTGTAATTTAAGATACACTTGACACTAGTTGTAAAACAACAAAATCAAAAATGCTTAAACAGGACAGGAAGCAAGCTGACCTACATGACTTCACTTTGAAAGTTACAGGAGTTTCAGACATAAGACAAATGAACTCGTTAAGATGGGCCTTTTTTGCTGAATGGCTTCATCACATTCTGTCACTTCATTGCATGGTACCAGGAGTGTGTGTGTCTTGTAGATGACCCAACTTTTTGTGCAGTGATTTTGCCATTCAGTGGACACCATGCAGCCCCCAGATGAGCAGAAGACTGGACATTTACCATGAACAATCACAATGCAAGAGAGGCAAACTAATTCACCTGCTTCTTCTCTTGTAGGATTGTGAAATTAGACATCTGAGGTTTTGTTTTTTTTTTTTGCCTGACTTCATATTCTGTCTGTCTGCTGTGTTAAATGCCTTTTAATGGTCTTAAATTGTTCCCTTTGGTTTGCAGGGGAAGGATTTGCAGATTTCAAGTCTGTCAGCGGTGATGATGGCTTCACAGACTTTAAAACCGCGGACAGCATCTCTCCACTAGACCCATCAGAACCGCCCAAGATCTTCCAGCCTGCCTTCCCTTCTGCTTTCCCAAACTCTCAGTCTCTACAACAACTGCCACAGCAGCCAGCAGTGTCTCTTTCTCAGCCCAAAAACCCTCTCAACATGGCCGACCTGGACCTTTTCTCTTCTAGAGATCCCCCCGTTCCTGTTCCCACTGAGACAAAACCCAGCACTTTCCCCTCAGTGTCTTTGCCTCCCTCTCTAGTGCTCATACCAGGTGGAGCCAAACCTCCAGGGGCAGGGTCAGATGACTTTGGTGACTTTGCCCTTTTTGGCTCCTCCTCTGATGCCACTCAAGCTTCAACAGCGGGTGGGGCCACAGCAGCGCCTCAGGACGACTTTGCAGACTTCATGGCATTTGGCAGTTCTGGTGGAGAGCCTAAAAGTGAGAGTAATGTGGGGGTCCAAGGAGAGACCTCCATGCAGCAGCGGCCTCAGCAGACCTCAGACAAGTATGATGTGTTCAAACAGTTGTCTCTGGAGGGAGGTCTTGCCTATGATGACACCAAGGAGAGTGGTGGCGGGTCCTTCTCTTCTCTCAAGAGTGATACAGACGACTTTGCCGACTTTCAGTCCTCGAAGTTCTGCACAGCACTCGGGGCTTCAGAAAAGACTCTGGTGGACAAGGTGGCCGCCTTCAAACAGGCAAAGGAAGACTCAGCTTCTGTCAAGTCCCTCGACCTCCCATCCATCGGTGGGAGCAGCATGGGAAAGGACGACTCAGAGGATGCACTTTCAGTGCAACTAGACATGAAGCTGTCGGACATGGGTGGAGACCTGAAACACGTGATGTCGGACAGCTCTCTGGATTTGCCGGGTCTCTCTTCCCACCAGCCCCCTGCTACAGGTGAGGAGCTAGTGCGTTTGCTTTGGTGAGGCCTCATCCGGTCACACAGAGAATTTATTATAAGGGCCAACAGTGGCCTCTCCTCCTCAGTGGCCACTTGGGTCCAGCAAACAAGGGATCAAAGGGCAAGTAAGGAATTGAATATGCTCAAATACAGAAGACAGGCGTGATTAGATGCATCATATCTTTCATTTTACATTTCATCATTCATCTCAACGTATTTATTTCTGTTTTGATTTAAATAACTTGTTTCTTATTTATTTCTGTGTTCCCCTCTCTCCGTCCCTGCATATGTTGTTACTGTAATGATGGCTCCTGGCCCATATCTCTCTTTATTTCCTAATGATGGGTGCCTGATTTAGGTGTGTTGACAGTCATAGTTCATAGATGTGGTCCCCGGTTGCTCTCAGTGAGACTCAGATAAGCTCCCTGTTGTGTCCGTGCCGCAGTGGCAGACATCATGCTTCCCTTCAGTGTGTCTTTTGTCTCCATAGGGCAGACTCAGTTTGTTTATGTACGAGTGCGCGTGTTGTTGATATGCCGTGCCAGGCAACCAGAAAGGCTCAGTTGAATGCAGACGAGTACAGGAGGGGGCGTTATGGTGATGATCCTCTTATTTATTCTAATCACAGGTTTCGCACAATAGGCTGCAGTTTACCAAAGGCATTGTCTGTAAACCATCACTCACCCTTTTATCTGCTAACATTTGGTTTGTGCTGAATGCATAGCAGGTAATATAATTTTGATTAGCTGGAAATGAAATGTTGTCATAAATAGGAAATTTTGCATGCAACAGCAGGAAAGAAACTATTTTCAAATAGAGCAACAATGTTTTTTCATGTCACAAAAGCAGCTGAGATGTTAAGCACATTATGGCTGGATGCAGTGCAGTTTCAGACCAGAGTGCTTGAATGAGCATGTGCTTTTGTCTCTTGTCTGTCAGCTATTGTATTACCCTGCAGTATGTCAGTCTTGTCATGCGGTGGATCAAATGGCCCTCTAATTATGAGATGCTTTTCTAACAGTGCGTTGGCTTTTTCCTCCCCTACCTCACGTCCATGAAAGTGGAATTAAAGTTTACATAAAACTTGCAGTTAAAAAGAAGTCAAACCAGTTTTCGTAATAATCAGGTAATATCCATGTCAGCGGTCCCTCTTCTCCTCTCTCCAGTGCTCATCACTTATTCATCCAACATCTCTCCTTTCATGTCATGTCTCATGTTTCCACAGAAATCATTCGAGACCAACTCTTAATGTGACCCAGGACTGCATTTAATCACGGTCAGGATAAAGCTTTGCAACTCCCAACTTTTATGCTTTTCATTTCTTTACTTTATTTGAAGACAATTTTCTGTGGTTTGAGAAAGTTGTACAAGTTGACTTCACCTGACAACTCGCACACTCAACTATTTCAACATATCAGTTAATTATCAGTTAAACAATATTTATACCAAACATATAATTTTTCCAAGGAATTGTTAATGTTTTTCCCTTGATCACACATGTAAACATCCCCACTGCCTTACTTCAGTTTCTGTACAGTGGTCAGATTTTGGTTTAACCCAAACAGGCCACTCTATGCTGAGATTAGGATGATGTGTTTGAAGAAACATTTTTTGCAACTGCAGCAAAACAGTTAGGCTACTGCGCATCGGGTGGAGGCGATGCCCAGTATAGCATCGATACATTCCTGTTATGCTCCTAACAGCTGCTCCACATTTCCTTTTCACTATTATCTATCTGCTGTTCTTGTTCTTGGAGAGCTCTGGGACTAAGTGTAGCAAGCCGAGCAGTTCGAACACCTCACCACGCTTTACACTGTGTTTCTGGACATGTATGTAATCTTAAAGAGACAGTATTTCTTTTGGAAGGTTCCTTTTGAGTCTGGAGCACAAAAGGAATCAGATTTTATTTTAAAATTTCTTTGCCGTTATCTGTGATATCGCAGCATGAATTTATCATGTGTGGCGCTATGGTCTGGCTCTCTGAGGACATTAGGAAGTCAGCATTACCCTTCCTGCCTTGCTTTTTGCTGCAGTGTACCTGCCTTTTCAATTTGTGAAATTGACAAGACTATAATACAAGATATCATTTTGTGCTTAACGATATTGCAAGTTGTTTTTATCAGAGGAAAGACTGTATACCTACAGATTTAATCATGTATTTTTATTACTGGAATATGAGCTCTTATTTTGAGACTAGAAAGATTCCTTTATCTTGTTGCGATTTGTCAACTAACCTATGTAAATTAAATGTAGCCTACAGTGTTTAGCCAGATTAAAATGTTCATTACAGTGTTTTAGGTTGTCTTGAGAAAACAATGATGTACTATTATTTGGGGGATCATAAGCATCCGTGCACATCAGCCTGCTTTAGATAAGCGATCACTCTAGCAAAAGGGGAAAAAGGATACTGTCTCTTTAAATCTGTTTGTCCCTCTGTGGGTGGATGTAACTAAGTCCTCTCTGGGATGTCAGGTGTAAGGATGGCCCTCTTTGTTTTCTGTAACCCTTTGAGTGCTTGAACAATGATCACTTAGATGTTTACATCTAGATTAATGCATCCCCTTAATTTTCTCTTTTCTATTAGAATAAACACCAGGACTTAATCTTATTTTTTTACCAAGCTAAGTAACATTTTCATAATTTCTTTAAAATTCCATAATTGATTAAATCCATAAGATAATGATGCCCAAATCCCCCCCGACTCATTGTGCAGTTTATATGCAACCTTCTTACAACCAGTAATTTTTGGGATGCTCTACCAGTTTTCCCCCTTCGGGTCCTCAAAGGGTTAATGCTTCCTGCATTGAACTTATGCTTTGAATTCTCTTTTCAAACTGGCTTGAACTTCTCAAATGCTCTGTGTTTAAATAATCTCCAAAAACACCTGTTGCTTTACATCTTACTAGTGGTAAAACAGTTTGTCCTCTCCCCAGAGGTACTGATTTTAGTCTGTGGATGTGCCTTGTCATTCTGGTTTCTGCTTTTGTTTCCTCAGATGATCTTGCTTTGACCTTCTCAGTGTTTGTTTTCTTCCTTTTTCTCCTGACTCTGCATGCCCTTGTATTCTAAATGACTGAAATCAAATTTTACCAGTGTTAGTTGACGAACCTCTTGTAATGATAGACCTCTTTCACAGTACTTTGTGACCTTCCTCTCTCTCTTTCTCTCTAATCATGTTGTCATAATAAATATTACTGTTGGTATTGCTGAAACGCGTACCGTCTTGTTTTCTCTTTTCCCTTTTTGAGAGGCAGAACAGTGATTTAATGACACCAGGCTTGCAGCACGAAATCCTTGTCAATTTCACAAATTGCCTTTTGTATCTGAGGGATTTGTCATGCAAAATAGGAAGGGCTCAACACGGTCGAGTTGTGTGTTTGTGAGAATGTGACAAACTGAGACCTGCATAACAAAGTGTTGACAAATGTGTGCATGCTGAATAGCTCTGTCAGTTAGTATTAGTCATTAAAGAAACTGATCCCAAACTGTAAACACAACACAGTGAAAGAAACAGAGCAGATGTAGTGACAGGAAGGTGTTTTATTAATGTAGTGTGAACGTCTGTAAGGAGACAAAATCCTTCAGGTTGCTTTTAGTATAAAGAGCTGAGTATTGTTAGGAAAGCTGTTTGTCACCAAAGAGAGCAGCCAGTGTTATCACATTGCCCAACTAGAGGAGCTGTCCACTGCGAAAAATAGCTGCGTTAGTTCCGTGTGTTTTAGTAAAATTGTGGCAGCAGTTTTCTTCTCATGAATGTGATTTGGCTTAGAAGCAATTTCTTTACTCTTCTTGAAATAATTGAACGGAATTCTTAAAATGGTAGGATGTACAATTCCAACATAGTAGTAGGCATTACTCGTACAACAACACAAACTATCCATTAGTACTATAATTGCGATGTGTTGAATAATAATATCTGTCATTACCAGTTTATTGCAGCATTTGTATTCACACTTTTAAAGAGCACAAGACGGGGAGTTGGGGTCCTTTTTGTCATTTTTGCCACTTTTTGTTATGTAGTATACAGAAATTGCTACATACTACACGGGATACAAGTAAAGTTGTGATCAGTTCACCCCAGTATCCAAAGAAAACCCGTCACTTACCTGTCAGGGTATTTGAGCACGGAGATAGTTTGGGTTTTATCTGCATGTTTTCAGAGATTTGTGAGATTTCATCCTCCATCCTAGTACAATGATGTGACGAGTATATCATTTGTGGTGCTCGCAAGGTTGGAAAATGACATTTCAGCAATAGAATAGAAATGTCTCTTTCCAAAAATAATGTTCAGGATAGGCCAGGTAATCTACAGAGGAGAGTTTTCATAGGGTCTGCAGTATTTCTTTGGTTGAAATTAGGGCTGCAGTTCACTATTATTATTATATCATTATTATTATTATCATTTATGTGACAATTATTTTCTGGAATAATCATTCAGTGAAGGAAACAAAACAGTGAAAAATGCCATCATAGTATTCTGTGTGCCATTATTAAATGTCTTGTTTTGCCTGACCTTGACTCTAAAACCTCAAAATAAAAATACTCAATTTATAAGAAGTAGAAAAGCAGGCAACTGTCACATCTGAGAAGCTGCAGCTGTCACGTTTGATTCAGACTATGAATCAATGTGACTGATCTTTCATTTGACTAATTGATTAACTGAATAATCTTTACGGTTATACAGTGATGGGGTGGTGAATAATCTTTACGGTTATACAGTGATCGGGTGGAGATTATCCGTGGTAATTAGGAAATAGTTTTTAGAAAGAGATGGCTGTATTCAGTGTTGTTTTCAATTCTGTGAGCAGCATAAACAAAGTATTTCGCCCCGTTGTGCCAAGGTGGAGCCAAATATTTAAAAACCTGGGCAGTTAAAATATAAACTATCCGCATGCTATATACACTGACTGGCAACTTTATTAGGTCACCTGTACAATTGTAAGCACTTCAATGCAACACTTCTACCTTAACATCTGTGTTTATGAAGCTCAGAATGTTTCAGTTTTTTGGTGAAATTGTCATAAATGTCTAAATTCAATTATATGAGGTCATAGTTATAGATGGTGTTGTACCGGACTACATTATATTCAGAGGTGTTCCCAATATTCTGACCCTCTCATTAAGGGTGCATCGATCGATCAGCGAAGATCAGAAATGGCTGGTTTTCAGCGTGATCGACCATGACCAGTGACCACCCAATCACTCTGAGATTTCCAATTCTCTGGCAGTCAGATATAGAGGCACGACAGTCCACGTTGTGCATGCAACAGACCAAAAGCATAGCGTGTGCAGCACATAGCATCTAGTGTGCACTTTGAGGGAGACTCCCACTGTGTCTGTACCAGGTGCTTGTTCTCTCACCCATTGGGAACACTTGGTGTATAAAAACACACGGGGGGGTCTACTGAAATGGGGAACGGAAAACTACGTCCAAATATTCGACAACTAGTACACAATGAGGGAATCACTGGCCACACATGAAACGCATGTACAGTGTATCCAACCCATGGTAAAACACCAAATACAAACTACACACTTCAAAAAGAAGTATATGCTCAATAGAAACATTCTTCTGTTTCCATTACCTGTTTCACCTGTTTATATTTGGAGAAGGGCAAATATTGTACTTCATTTTTAGTTGATTTGTAAAAAAAAAAAAAAAAAAAAAAGAGAGAGAAAGACAGATATCCATCCGTTATCTGTATTGCTTATCCTGAAGAGAGTCATGGAGGGCTGGAGCCAATCCCAGCTGACATTGGGTGAGAGGCGGGGTCCACCCTGGACAAGTCTCCGGTCTATCACTGACGCTTAGAGACAAACAACCACACACACCCACACTCACTCCTATGGGTAATTTATAGTCGCCAGTCAGCCTAAGCTACATGTCTTTGGACTGTGGGAGGAAGCAGGAGTGAAAGATGGAAATGTAAAACTTTAATACGTGGTTTTCTTTTTATTACAATTTAATTTTTCATTAAAGAAAAGTTACTAAAATGTCTGTGTATGCTGTCAATTACAGTTCTTAGAAAATCGGAATCGGCAGGCCAGGGTTAAAAAAATATCCGAAATCAAAATTGGCAAATAAAATAGCTGTTGGTGTATCTCTGCTTCTCATGTATGTAGCTGGGGAGGGCAAAAATATAGACACGCCTGTGAATATAATATAGTCCAGTACAACACGACCTATAACTATGAGCACAGTAATAAACTTATAATTGAATTTATACATTTATGACAACTTCACCAAAAACTGAAACCGTTTGAGTTTCATAAAGACAGATGTGGCTCAGGGGTAAAGCAGCCGTCTCTCGGTTGGAGGTTCGATTCACGGGGCCTGCAGTCCACATGTCGAAGTGTCCGTGGGCATGACACTGAACCCCAATTAGCCTTTAATGGCCAGAGCAGCGTCCTGCAGGGACGGCACCATATTCAGTGTGTGTGTGTGTGTGTGTGTGTGTGTGTGTGTGTGTGTGTGTGTGTGTGTGTGCGTGCGCGTTGGTGCTGCAGATGGCTGCCTTGTTTCTGTACTGGAGACACATTCCTTGGCCAATAAAAGTTAATATTATTATTATGTTAAGGCAGAAATGTTGCATTGAAGTGTATACAATTGTACAGGTACTTAATAAAGTGGACAGGCAGTGTATCATCAATGGGAAGTGATAATGTTTTCTACTATAGAAAGTAACACAGCGATAATGCAACAGAAATCTCACTTCTTCATCCAGGATCATTACTCTACCTCATGTTCTATTCCTAGGAACCATTGGTATGTCTGTGTTTTCATTACAGAAGGAGACGACATGAAATCTGACCCCTTTGGGACATCGGCCCTCAGTACCTTGGCCGCCTATGACTGGTCAGACCAGGAGGAATGTCTGCCCCGTGAGGTCACAAGACCGCAGTTCTTGGACGAAGCTTCCATTCCATCTTTAGTACCAGTACAGAGGAAGGAGCTGACCTTTGGCAGCACTGAGAACATCACAAGCAACTCTGCGGCAAAGATCACCACCTTCTTCCGAACAGAGGATGGTTCATCGACAGATGACAAGTTTGAAGCCTTCGCTGACTTCGGCTCTGGCGACCAGGGTGGTGTCGATGACGAAGATGACTTTGGGGACTTCGCAAGTACTGTTTCTGAGAAGTCCGACTCACCCGCCACCACTGCTGATGTGGGCTCTGAGGGAAACCAAAGTGAGGTCTCTGACGAGCCCGGAGCCATCCAGCTGGACAAGCCTAAGTTTGGCAAGTCCGACTTCCTCAAAGCCAGCGCTCAGGCCAAAGTCAAGTCTAGTGAGGAGATGATCAAGAACGAACTAGCAACTTTTGACTTGTCTGTTCAAGGTGAGTCACATTCATCACTAAGGTTGCAGCAGTATCCCGGTTTCATGGTATACCTTGGTATGAAAATGGATGGTTATCTTACCATGCACATTTGCTTATTACGGTATTGGAAAAAAAACACAATGCATGCACACCTGTCTTCCCTGACTGCCTGTCAGACTCCACAACAGGTGCCACACGCACACATGTAGTGGACAAATGGCAGAGAGGAGGAGGCTGATCACTTGTCACCAAACTCTATCCACCAAAAAAGAAATTAAAATCAGCAGTGTGGGATTACTTTGGATATACCTAGAAAAAGCGAACACCGACCCTCTGTGCAGATCAAAGTATGGGGCTCGTTTATAACTTTAATCGCAAAGAATAAAACGTGAGTGTATAAACATCAGTCGTACAATACACTGTCAATGTAACTTCCCGTAGTGTCTGTTCATTCACTGATCTCTGATTACAAATGGGCTCTCACTGATCCCAGTCTGACCCCAGAAACACAAACTGTCCCAGGTCACCTAAGTGTGTGTGTGTGTGTGTGTGTGTGTGTGTGTGTGTGTGTGTGTGAAGGTACAGACAGGATCAATCTGACTGTGCATGTCTCCTACAGTAAATTAGAAACTACTTTGATAATCGTTTAGAGAAGAGAGTTTTCAATCTTTAGAGGGTCATTGTGGCCGATGATGATAATAATAGTAATTGTGTAACCCCGTGATATTTTCTGAGATGGTTGCCATAGGGTAAAAATCTCATATCGTTGCAACCTTAGTCATCACAATGATCCTACTCTATGTGTAAGTAGCGATTATATTCTTAACTGACTTTTTGAGTGATGTTTTTCAGGCATAGATGCAAAGTAGCTTGTCCATTGTGAGGATCATAGGCTTTCCTCAGTATGACATCTTTGTAAATAGGATGTTTTTAGGTTTTGGACTGAACTTGGACATTTGAAGATGTCATGGGAACTACTGATGGGCATTTTCTTACTATTTTCTAACATCAATGCCCAATCATGAAAACTGTAAGAGTCATTAATAATAAAAAGAATAATTAATTATAGTCCTAAATCCATTGTTACTGAAATGTTAGAATGTATTTTTAAAAATGCCAATTACAATTTCCCAGAAGCCAAGGTCATGGGAAAAAGTCTGCATTTTTGTTAGATTAGTTTTTAGATAATTAATCAATTATCCAAAAGATTGTCTGTAGATGGAATAACCACTTAATTAGAAAAATGGCTTCATCACTAAAATGCAATGTTAGGATTTAAACTCCAAACGTTTGGGTCTAAAGTGGCACATCAGGCCTCTCCTCAGGTGTGCACCCCCTCCCCAGCCCCACAGCTGGCCCCATCAGATCTGTAATAAAGCTGTCAGACATTAGATGGCAGTGTTGAGATGACGTCCCTGCTTTGATGGCAGTGACCAGTAAGGTAGATTCAGCAGAGGCCAACAAATCCAATTTAGCTGTATATGCTGTTCAACCGCTCTTTGCTGGTGTTAAGTTCCATGAATCATTGATTAGCGTTTCCTGTGCTGTGACACGAGCTTATTTGCCCCATAGATCTGCCTACCCTGTGCTGGATTTAATGTGTGTGAAGAAGAGGCCTTCACTTAGTCCTCTTGGTCCAGTGGAACAGTAATCTGATCAGGGTGGGGCTTTGGGGTTATATGGGGTGGGTGGCACATGTCTCTGTGGGTGGTGGAGGAGTCCGGGATGGGGGGCAGCAGTCTGGACAACACACACGCACACTCCAACTGCCACCCCCACTGGAATAGCCTGGGTTTAGTGTGTGTGTCTGTGCCTGTTTGTTTGTTGTGGTACCCTGCCAGGATTTGTCCATGTGTGAGTCCCTATGAATAATTCATACCTGCATATTTGTACCTCTGTTGTTGTATGTAATTATTGTTTGTCACAAATTAAGTATTTACTCACACCGTCCTTATCCAGGAGGAATTAGCCTCAACTGAATGGAAATGGAATGAATGCACACAAACAAGTGCATTTCTCAAAATGAGTCATTGCCATAGGTTTGTTTAACTTATAATGTGTGTGTGTGTGTGTGTGTTCTCCCCCTTATTGTCCTGTATTACATCAGGCTCCCACAAGCGCAGTCACAGTTTGGGTGAGAAGGAGATTGGGCGTTCGCCCCCATCTCCTGCACCAGAACAGCCTTTCAGAGATCGATCGAACACTCTGAGCGAGAAGCCCAGCCTGCCTGTCATCAGGGACAAGTACAAGGACCTTACAGGGGAGGTGGAGGTGAGGACACAGCACTAACAGCACCTCATCGTGCTTTGACTAACCACCAGACTTTAGTGCAACATTTGGGACAGAGCACAGGAATTGTCCTCTGTTCTGCTCTGTTTCTCCTTGTGTTCATTTGTGATAATTTTGTGTTGCTGCAGGAGAGCGAGCGCTACGCATACGAGTGGCAGAGATGTCTAGAAAGTGCTCTGGAGGTTTGTATTTGTTTGTGTCCTGTGTCTGACCTTGTCCCACAGCAAGACATTATTGTGAGAGCGACTGTATGAATTTAGTATAATAATTAAGATAACCAAAAGACACTGAAATGATTTCCAGCCTGTTGTTACGCCTGAGGACATTTTTCTTATCACATACATTTTGAGTGAAATTATTTTGTTTACGCTTGCAGCCTTAACTTTTGGTTTAGAACTTTAAAAAAGTTTTTTTTTTTTTATGTGTCCCTACTCCACCTGATTTTGTCAGATGAAAAGGCATAAATTAATAAATACTCCAGCAGTGAGGGAGATGGTGCGTGCACTGTTTTTCTTATTTTTATTGCTGAAAAAAAAAAAAAAATACTATCATCATGATGGTGTCACTCCCAGAAGTGGGCTAAGTTTACAAACCTGGGTTAAGATGGGTTAAGATAGGTTAAATACACTCTTTGACAGACCGACATATTTGCCAACTGATAGTGATGATTATGACGGCAGCATGTGTGTCATAATCCTGGCCTTTGTCTTCCCACATTAAGGTCATCACCAAAGCTAACAACACCCTGAACAGCATCAGCAGCTCCTCTGTCTGCACTGAGGTCATCCAGTCTGCTCAGGGCATGGAGTACCTGCTGGGTGAGGAATCACAACCTATACACACACACTCGTGCACACACACTGTTATCAAGAAGTCAGGACTAGCTGTACAGTGTAAAAAGGAGGCAGCATGTGGCCGTACACCCACTTACATAGGACATGTGATGACATATCTGTGCGTGGTCTGACAAGGTTGTGCTCCCTTATTGTGTTTCTCTGCTTTTAATGAGCTGTGAGCAGCAAACATGTCCCAGCAAGGAGGGGATGAACACAGCCTGCCTCTTGGAAACGGCACAGAAAGAGCAACTCGTGTTTCTCTGACTTGTGCTTTTGCTCTCATCAGGTGTGGTGGAAGTGTATCGTGTCACCAGGCGTGTGGAGTTGGGCATCAAGGCAACAGCAGTGTGCTCTGAGAAGCTGCAGCAGCTGCTGAAGGACATCAACCGCATGTGGAACAACCTCATAGGCTTCATGTCGCTGGCCAAGCTCACTGTAAGATGCTCAAAAACCCATAAACAGAGCACTGTGCAGGTTTAAAACTGGAATACACAGATTTATGTGCACATCTGCTTTTACTGCCACCTAATATCAGCCAGACTCATTGGCATTCCAGACACACAAATACACCTGATAACAGATCACTGGGGGTCAATTCACAATAAAAAGGCTGCCAATAACATAATGAAATATTAGCGAGTCTAGTAATGTCAGTGCATTAGGTTAAAGTCAATGATCCATCGATTTGGATGCAATGTAGCTGGAGCCCCCTGGTAGACTGGTTGTTTGGATCAACATGGTTGACAGTGACTGTATAGATTCATTAATCCAGCCGTCTGCTAGTGTGTGTGTGTCCGTGCTCATCCACAGACCAACACAGAAGGAATAGGCTCTTTAATCTGGACAAGATAAAACTGACAGTATTCCAAGGAAGAAGTCTGAAACAAATGTTTAATTGAAGCACGGAGGTAGCATTTCTTTCTTAAAAGCAAGCTGTAACTGTTGGTATCATTTGTTTCATATTCCACATTGCTGAAGTCAAGCAAAGTCTTTATAAAATGCTGATGATGCTTGGAGATGTTTACTGTAATCAGACTGCTGAAATGACTACATTTTGCTCAGCAGCAGAGCAGAAAGTAAAATATGTTGGTTTCTGTTTCTCATCTGTTTTTTTTTTTTGCTTGTTTGTGCATGTGTGTGTAGCCTGATGAAAGCTCCCTGGATTTCTCAACCTGCATTCTGAGGCACGGCATCAAGAATGCCAAGGAGCTGGCTTGTGGGGTGTGTCTGCTCAACGTTGACGCTCGCAGCAAGGTTTGTGCATGCACACAGAGAATTGGTAGTTGATTTGTTTTTTAATAACTGTTGTTGTGCTCATCCACAGCAGATAACACTGACATTTGTTTGACTTTGAAACATTTTGCAGAACAAAGAAGAGCGCACTATTGGACGTCTGTTTAAACGAGTATGAGACTGTTGACTAAATCTAACTCCACTCTTTTCCACTCGGGGCCTATCCTTTCTTTATTGGTGAGCCTGGCAGGAGGCCAAAGTGACAGGATTCACTTCTCTCCACTTATCTTCTCCTACAGCTGTCTGCAGATAGAAAGCATCAGCTGAAATCACAACTTAAACAGGTGGATCAATTGGCTCTTCTCTAATTTTGAAAAGCCTGTCAAGCTTCCTGTTTTCACCTGACTCATGTAGTTTACAGTGACAGTGGTAATGACTGAGCACTAAGCATTTGAAGTCATTTTTTGAAACACTAGTCTCTTAATTTCAAACAGGCATAGGCGGTTTTCTTATTTCTGGGAGGCAAGCATCAGTTTGTCCGTTGAAATTTCAGCCATCATTGTCACATGTTATCAGCTGTACTGTCCAGCTGACTCATTTGATCACTACATAGGTGACACTGTGCTAAAAAGACTGAGGCTAAAGCTGCATGTCCCAGACAAGAAGCCATCATTCTCACCAGCTGATGAGCCTCATCCAACACTTGTACAGAACAAAATAGAATCGTCTTGGTGTTGTAAATATGAAAACATAACATGTTTGGCTGTTTGGTTTTAGCTTTTCAAGCAGTATTTTGTGTATTAGCATTACAAGAGAAAAGACTTTTGGGATGACAGAGTGTTTGGCAAAGGCTATGCCAAGTATCACTGGCTCAAGTGTCAAGCTTCCCAATTCCAGTACAGAGCAGGACATTCCTGCAAACATTAAACACAGACTGGGTGTATGGCATCCACAGGACGAGCACAGTGGATGTGCTAGTCATGAGCAGGGCTATTTTTACACAACATGTGACTCCATGAAATAAATGTAGTTAATTACTGATGTGCTCCTTGGCTTTAAAAGTAACACTGGGTTACTAACAGTACTGTGCGCTAAGCTAGTTAGCCAGATAGTGCTAACAAATACAGCTGATGTTGATAAGAACTTGCTTTTGTATGTTTGATTTTGTAAATGCACCACTGGCATTGTACTCGCTACAGCCCAGTGCGCCGCTTTAACATGCGGAGGAATCCCAAGCTTGACAGGTTTACGCTGCATAAGAACGATTGCTAAGATCTGATTTAACAAACATTGTTTGGAGGAGGGGTTTAGTGAAGGCTGACTAGAAAAAGTGTCTAATGAAGATAAGTGAGAGAGTGGAGAGTTATCACTTTGGCGACACCGGGTGGGCTCCTGCTCCTGCACTGTGGGACTTGTTTCTCATGGTCACTTTGTCTGGGTGGGGTTTCATTTTCTGTTCTGGCACCTCCATCACTTTCAGCTAACAGCCTTCAATGTTTATGATGACTGTTCAGTTATTAACTTTGACTGTGGCACTGTGCAGAACTGCTCTGTCTTCTTCTCACCCATGGTGGCGGTGATTTTCACCAATGTGGGCCATTAATGACATATTCTCCGACCCTGTGGTTTAGAGGGGAGAACGATGGCACTGATTGTTTCTCATGTTCCCTCTGCTGCTCAGCCAGATGGATGATACAGGCAAGATTTGGCTGACTGAGAGGCTTCTCAGCTGCAAACACATGTGGCTTAGTCATAAGCAAGGGAGTACAGCTGCTAATATACCTGCACACACACTCTCACTCTTCTCTCACTCGTGTGTGCATAAAGGCAGGCTGAAATTAATGCAGCTTTATTTGTCTCTGTGCCACTAGCATGAGATTAATAACCCACCTTTTAATTACATTTCTGGCAGAGCCACACTGGCAAGAATGCATAAGAGCCAAGTGGAGAATAGCACTTGGAGTATAATGAAGTGAAAGAACGGCTTCGGCTACAGCAGACACCACTGATTGTTGCTTTGTCCTTTAGTGAAGAGGCACTGATTTTTTCTCCAACCAAAGGTACAGAAGGGTGAGGATGTGGATGTGCTTTCTAGCAGCATCAAAGAAATGTGACAAATGTGCTTAAGAACAGCTCAGTAGCTCCTGTTCAGTTCACACTCTGAATTTTAACCTTTCAACTGATTCTTTATTTATCTGTTTACTTATTTTACAAATAGAACTTAAATTTGTAGTGCTGCATTTAGTCACAGCTGGAAGTATCCACAAGTGTCCTCCGCCTCACTCTGCTGCAGTTGGACCAATGATTATGAGATGCAGCATCTGTGTCATCACTTGTTCTTCTCCAGGGCAGGAGGCAGGGATGGGCAACCGCCAGCAGCTTTGTCTTGTCTCACTTTGTCAGTTTCATCATAAGTGATACTTTACAGCTAATGATGCCACAGCCCCTCTGCTAAATGATAAATGCTAATTTGAGCAATTAAAGGGAGAAGCACTGGAAAGGATTTCAAGTTGAATAATTTATCATTCGTGGCTATTTTTATTAATGCACGTTACTGAAGTGCCTTGAGGATCTGGATTGATTTTTTTCAAGTCTATGAAGCTTTGACAGTAGGGCTGACAGAGGTTTACATTGAAACTTTGACTGCTTGTTGTGTAAATATGCTCATCTCCCCATGATTTTACTTTTAAAATCTGTTGTTAGGTTGCCCATCTCTGTCACAGCATGTTTTGTGGCTCAGGTCCGCAAGGTTCCTACACAGGTAAAGAAAGTCAGGCAAGTTACTGTAGGCTGTAAAAGTCTGGGAAGTGACAAAATGCATGCATGGTTAAAAATGGCAAGGTTCAAGAACAAAGAATGCAACACATATTGTAGATTCTCTGGCTATTTATCCATGTAAACAACTGTCTTAACTATAGACAAATCTAGTGGCTGTGTGTTGTGTGAAAACAAACGTTTTGGTTCATCACAGTCATCAGTCATCCCCTCTTCAAGACGAAGCTACTCTGTGGTGTTGTGGATGTTATTCGTTGTCAAAGAACCTGTCTTAAATTGGTTATGACATAGAATTTGGGAAAAATAATAACACGAATGTATTGCTTCTGTCCTGTCTCTCAGCCAGGATCTGAAAGTGCTGGGTCCAATCCCAAAAGTATTCAGTTTATTTATTGTGAAAGACTGTGAAAACCAGCAGACATTCACATTTGGAGTGAAAACTGAACCTGTAGTTAGTATGTTTGTCTGGCTGTGTGTTGTGTGAAAACAAACGTTTTGGTTCATCACAGTCATCAGTCATCCCCTCTTCAAGACGAAGCTACTCTGTGGTGTTGTGGATGTTATTCGTTGTCAAAGAACCTGTCTTAAATTGGTTATGACATAGAATTTGGGAAAAATAATAACACGAATGTATTGCTTCTGTCCTGTCTCTCAGCCAGGATCTGAAAGTGCTGGGTCCAATCCCAAAAGTATTCAGTTTATTTATTGTGAAAGACTGTGAAAACCAGCAGACATTCACATTTGGAGCGAAAACTGAACCTGTAGTTAGTACGTTTGTCAGTTTTGATTAAAAATAACAAAAGATTTAAAAAAAACAGTTGGAAATTAATTCCTCTTCAGTCAACAGATCGATCAATCCACTAATCTTCTCAGCTCTAAATCAGAAACGCATGATACTGTAAAAGTGCTATTTTGGCCAGCAAACGTACAATGGTACCAAGTTAGCAGGAGATCTGCTGGGTAGCATGGTGGCTCACCATCAGCCCTGATGGGCAGAGCACTCCATGTTCAGCGGCCCCCACACTGTCCTTTGTTCATAAACAGTAGAATGTGATAGAAACAGGAGCATTAATCAGTAGTGGAGGGTTAGGAAAGTAAAATGGATTTCATAGAGCAGAGCTGACAACACCACAGCCCAGAAAAGCAATCTAGACCTTTTTTCACTATCAATCAACTGATCATTTTATCTCTAATTATAGCTTTTATTTTAATGGCATTTGATGACTTTATTTTCATCTTTGGTATCTGGCTCTACAAGATCTGCAGATTTCTAGGCAAGTGCTTAAAAACTGGAAACCTGTACATAAATCACAGTGCAGTATGCAGGTTTACACGAGGTGCGTACTGTAGTAGTTATTCTACTTATGCCTACAACCCAGATTATCTGTAAACGGTAGTAACCTAACTGTCACTGCTACTGAACGCTGACTGAAATCTTCAGTCGGGATTTTAGATCAATCAAGACCGACTCTCCAGAATTCTCGGATAAAGCAGGTGCAGGAGCCCTGGGGGCGGTAGCTTGTTTTCATGCACAGACACACTAGGAAAAGGGAGCTCTGTCCTGGTGAAACGGCTGGTCTGGATGTTTTCTTGCTGCTCAGTCTGTGCACAGTTCTCTTTGCTCTGCATACTGCAGCAATGTACCTCAACATGCTGACTCCTCTTGTGCTTACAGGCATCAATTAAACACAGTGACAGGAAGTTAAGGGTAATTATGCCTTATTTATTTTAAATTCTGATCAAGTTTTTAAAATTTATAGAAACAGTGTAGATTCAGAGTAAGTTGTCATATGATCTGATGAGGTGGGGGCTCAGTCAGAATTCCCAACCTTTACATGCAGGTATATAAAGTGAAAGGAAGAGGTGTTAGTGTCTTTGTGTGACCGCCCTTTCATTTTGCGTCGTCTCCCTCCAACATTTCCAGCTTTGGCAGCCCTAAGTGCACGCTTGTGGAAGCAAGTAGGCCAAGGCACAAAAGAGCTCCGAAAGGAAATCGCTCTGATTGTGAAATCTGAGTGTGTGAGAAAAAAGTGGGGAGTGGAAGTGTGTCATTTGGTGTGTCTGTGTGTGTGTGTGTGTGTGTGTGTGAAAGAGAGAGAGAGAGAGAGAAAGCCCTTCATCCAGCAGAGCATCTGTGCTGCTGGCTGAACCTGGGCAGGTGGAGATGTATTTGACTTAATGGTGTATTTTGGTGTGTTTTTTTTCTTTCTTTCGATGCAGTTGTTGCTTACCGCATGCATTTCCCCTCTCCTTCTGTGTGGGAGGCTATGATTCACTGCGCATGACTCATTCCTCTCTACACCTTCAGCTCCAGCATTTCACCAGGGATGAACACTCTTCAACTGCACGTCACACACATTAGCATCTCCTGATTGCACACACACTGCTACAGCTGTGCCCGGTGAAATGCATATTATAGCGCCCAGTCAGTCACATTTCATTTTCTGGACAGCTGCAGTGTATTCAGATAGAACTAGAATCAAAGTTTAAACATCCAAATGTGAGCTTTACACACCCAAAAGCAAATCGTGAAGCAACAGGTTTAGCTGAAAACATGTTTTGCCACTGTGGAGATGGTTGCCCTCTTGTCTCTAGCAAAATAAAAATTCATCCACATGTGCTAGTGTAAATCATGGACAGTGATGGAAAGTCCTGCATCCTTATTGTGAAACAATGACACAGCAGAATGTGGTTTTAGGTCAGATAACAGCCAGTTTTAAGATAAAAGTTGATTTTTCAGACTTGTAACCCCATGTCTTTAGATAAAACATTTGATCAAGGAAATTAATCAGGCTAATGGGTCGACTTTGAGGCAAAATTTGCAAGTGGTGGGCAATGACAATGTTGCTAACTGACAATTTAACAGATGGAGTCCAAGTAGATGAAGTGAACTGCCCCTGTCATTGCAGCTGTCATCGTGCTATCCTGATAAAGCTAGATTAGGTTATTAATTTGTCTCTAAAAACAGACAAGAACCTAATGTTCAGCATGCAAGTTCTTCAGCATCTTGTGTTTTTTATTTATTTTTTTTTTTTACTTGTGCTTCAGAAGGCATATACTGTACTGTCCAATCAAAAAAGAGGGCCAGATGCCTTGCACTGTGAACATTTGCAACCTCTGGCCTCAAGCAGTCAAAACAAACGGGTACTGTGCTCTGGGGGAATCCAGCGTTGATGAGCTGATCACTAACCGCCCCTGAAACATCACTGGCCGGCTGTTTATATGTTAGTTGTCTTCTGACCAGCAAGTTGGTGGTTCGACTCCCGGGCTCCCCACATACCTAAGTGAGCAAGACACTGAACCCCAAATTGCTCCCGGTGGCTTGACTAGCGCCATTGTGCGGCAGCCTTGCCGTCATCGGTGTGTGAATGGGTGAATGGTGTATCATCTCCCTGTAAAACGCTTTGGCCAGTGCATAAAAGCGCTATATAAATACAGTCCATTTACCATGTACCTAATAAAGTGGCCAGTGAGTGTAAGTTTTAAAAGGGTGATCACGTATAGTTGTGTGCTAGTAATTCATAGAATTTAGTAGGAGTGAAATGACTCTACTGAGAAGTCATGTTTTGGCATGGTCAAAGGATCCAAATATTACAATACCCATGAGCCTCAAGCACAATTGCAACTGAAAAGAAGACGTGTGAGTCACAGCTGTAGTGAAAATGCTTTGATGTTACAGTTGAGAACCAATCAAAGTGCCATAGATGCTGAATTCACCTACAGTTGACTGAAGGTTTAAATGTGAACCGGTTTAAGCTGCAGATTGTATCATCAGTACTATGGTCTCCACCTACAACCACCGATAGTGCATGAGACAGAATTTAAACTCTGGACGCTTTTTGCTAAAATGCATTTTGGGAGTTGACATCTACCTCAAGGTTTGTAGGTACACAAGCTTGATAAAATGCTGAAGGTACCTTCAACCAGATGATTTATGACCAGCTCTCAATCATTTGGAGTGATGATTGAACTATGGGGAGTTTTGTGCCAAACCAAGCCTTAGACGTGCTACAGTTGTAAGGCTTGTAGCATCTTCTATGACAAAAATGAATGGGACTTCTACTTCTGGAACCAGGGGCGCCCAAAATAGCTCCAGCCAGGTCACAGCTCTGTCATCTCTGTGATTCAGGTCTCTCAATGTTTCACCCTCTCTAACAGGCGTTCAACTCGGAGACTGACAACTTCAAGCTGCTCTATGGGGGTCACCAGTACCACGCCAGCTGTGCCAATTTCTGGATCAACTGTGTGGAACCAAAACCTCCAGGCCTCATCCTGCCTGACCTGCTCTGAGCCTTGAAAGCAATTGCCATGATGATTATGCGCGGGCTGATCAACACCAGACCGGTGGTGTAGCCGGCCACCTTGCACCGCATGGGCTCTCACCTTGGACTGAGAATGAAAGGAGGATGTTTAAAGTCACTGGATCTTCTGTATTTATTTGCTTTTTATTCAGACATCTGTGTTTTGGTGAACCCATCCATGCTGTTACGGTTACCATTTTGTTATTCTGTTCAAATGACCTAAAATACGTAGGTTAGCTATAGAGTTCTTATTTAAGTCTATTACTAATGATGCTTTTAATAAATTATTTTCAGATTTTCACTGCCGCAAAAGTCCACATCACAAAATAATTACTGGTCAGTGACCTATTAACATCCTTTGTGTGCAATCTCACTACACACACTGGGAGAGGAACTAAACATCTTGGGGATTTAATGGTTCTTGTTGCTTTGCTTCTGTTGGAGAGGAATTTTATTTACGACTCCCTTTGTTCCCACTCAACCAGAGCTGTTGAATCATAAGCCTGTTATTGTACTTGAATTACATTTGCTGGGCCTGTTTATTGAAGCTTGTGGCTGTTATGGTTTTAATATCTTTTAGAAAGTCTTTACATTGAACCCATCACTGCTGTGCTGGAAGGCAGATGTCTACCTTTTCATGAGATGTGTTGAATTACCTACTTTGAATGTCTTTTGCACTGTTGGAAAGAGACTTCAACACCTCTTATGGTATTTAAATAGTATTTTATATGTACTATGAGGGAAACAAGTCATGATTTGGGGGCTTGAAGGGAGCCATTGTAACAGTTGTTTCTGTTTTGGTGTTATGTGCAACTACCTGTGTAAGTACAGAAGATGATGCGATTTTGAATTAAAATTGCAGCACTTTTTGTAAATTAGCTTCATGCTGTAGCATTGTACTTATGACTGTATTGTGAATGTGATATAAATAAATGAGTAGGCATACATTGTCAGTCAAATCATATAGGTTCACATTTTTCAAGTTTTAAACATTGGCAAGAGATATGTAGATAAGCTACAGCTGAGGTCAAACGTTTACATACACTTCTCCTCAAGGCATAAAAAAAAAAAACGGGAGAGATGTCCTATCTTTTGACAAGTCAGTTATGTAGTTTGTCAGACTGATTGTGCAGGGGAAACTTGTAACCCTAAAGAACACCGTGACTGTGGAGCAAGGGGGTGGCAGCATTGTGCTGTGGGGTTGTCCTCCAAGAGGGACTGGTGCACTTCATAAAACTGATGGCATCATGAAGAAGGACATTTTAAAACTTCTGAAGACATCGGCCAGGAAGCTAAAGCTCAGATGCAAATGTATCTTTTAGCAGGATAGGATAATCACCTTTATTGGCCAACTATGTTACACAGAAGGAATTTGTTTCCGGTACAGAACCGATGTCAGCCATCTGCAGCGCCACCTCAACCGATGGCTCTAACCATGGGGGGGGATTCAGCGTCTTGCCCAAGGACACTTTGACTGCCAGCACCGAGATTCGAACCTCCAACCTTCTGGCTGGGAGACAATTGCTCTATCCACCACGCCACTGTCGCCTCCCCAAGGACAATGATCTAAAAAAGTATGGACCCAAAATTCCTGCAATGTTGTGTGATGCTTGTAGAAGGTTACTCTAAGTGTTTGATTCAAGCTGCACAATTTAAAGACAGTACCACCAAATACTACAAAGGTGTATGTCCAACCTCACTACACAGTAATTATATGGGGGTACATGTTATGTTAGAGAAATACTTGTTCCACTTAATCAGAATTTAGCTTGGATGTATTCAAGAGTTTAGAGTAACTGCTCTTTATTTGGTTTGGAACCAATTAGACTGCAACAACAAATTTGCCTAAGATTGCTTATACCATTTCTATGATACAAATGAATTAAAGGGTCCTGGTTTGAAGATCTAAAGCACACCTTTCCAGGCGCAACAATCAAGGTGCATACAGGTAGTGTGCAGACCATTTTTGCTATTTTGAGGTGCAAAAGGTATATCTGCATCAGGCCATTGTTTTAAAAGGGTTCAACTTACTGTCTTAATTAACCCATGGGTGTGTTTTCACCGTAACATGCAATAAACCAATCAAAATTCCATCTCCCATTCCCTTTAAAAGGCAGTCCCACTGGTACCATGGCAGATAGCTATGATGACAGCAGATTTACCCGGAGGGAGACAGCTAGAGCCACTATTGCTCAAACAATTAGCCATTTACAGCGACCATTATCGTGACCAAATAATTCTGATACATAATATAATCACCCATTTACATGTTTTAAAATAATGTGGTGTATATCAATTTTAATTCTGAAAACATTCAGTTTTTAATCTGTTGCATTTTGACCAGCTTAGACCAGCTTTTTGTTGGTCACCAGCGCACCTTCTTATTGTGTCCTCAAGATACTAAATGTGCCAAAACACACCTACAAAGGCCCCTTGTTTACATCGACACTCCCAAGGTGGACGAGAGTGTGGTATCCTCCTAGTGCGGGTGCTAGGAGGAAAAATGGACACTGGCATCAGGTGCTAGATAGGAAATTACACTTTGATACAGGACTGTACGCTGGGTGGAAGATAGGGGCCATTGTCTGTGCATGTTTTCTGGATTGCACACAAACCCACATTAACTACGTATTTGGTCAAAACTGAATTAAAATCAGAATCTACCTTTTTAACATCCTTCTTTCACCATAACATTTACATTATATCATAGAAATGTGTCGTTTTAGGGGAAATTCAAAAGGACTGTTCTGCTTGTGAGCTGGGCTTAGCTGAAGCCAACTTAGGCACTTTGTCCCATCTCATGGAAATGAAGCCAGTTTTGATGCTCCAACATTAGTATTTTGTGAGGAGTTTAGTAGTTTTATTTTTTTTTCTGGATTCATTTAACCCTAGTATATACTGTATTACAGTTTTGAAATTAGCAGGCCATTTAATTCAGTTTGATCTTTTTGTGCCTGCTATCCTGTGAAGCTTCTTCTTCCAATGGCATGAATGCTGCTGCACATTTTCTCTCCATCATTTTACTCAATAATGTATTTTCTCTCCAGCCAGAGAGGCCTCGTCTCCATCACTTTGCAACAAAATGGAATAAATTCTCCTTCAACAAGCCTGCTGGGCCATGGCTGGGCTCAGCCAATCACATGAGATGTGTGGGGGCTCTGTGAAACCAGTCTCATTATCGCTCTCACACTTGTGTTCAGGTGTATTCTCCAACATCCATTTTATCTCTCACCGTTCTCTAATTCATTTCCTGCAGAAAATGAATTCATCTCCTCTCACAGTGAACACCAGGATTACAGAAAATTACAAACGCTGAAATCAATTACTGAACTAGGCTGTGTAATTGGAATTGTAGTCCGACTCTTACCTTCCTGTGCCTGTCATCTTCACGCCTGTCTGTGATGCTGTTCTGAAATGACCACTCTGGAAGAGAAGCGAGATTTATACTGTGCTGTATTGATCGCTGTTCTTCATTACCTCATGGCCATGGACAATCGCATTATTGATTAAAAAAACAGCTGCTCCTGGATGTTAAATTCAACTGATTGCCTTTACCCTTGTGAATAGAGCTGCTTCCTGCTTTACTTTTTTCCAGTAACGTTTTCCTTTATCCACAGAGGCTCCAAAAAGCTAGTTTTACAAAGCTGCTGTTATAATAACGTTTTTAGGATGAAAACATAGTAACAGAGGGAGAGCTTAAAAATATTGTGTCTCCTGTCTATGAAACACTGCTTCTGGATTTTGGAGGCTAAGAGTGGTTTGAAAGTCTGACTGATCCAATTGCTGACATTTGTTTGTCAGCAAATATAGCATAACCAAACCTCTCTGCAAAGGTTCCTTAATTTGGTTATTACAGACATTTAGGTTGAAACTATTTGGGAATTATTTAAGTCGATCCACAGAAAATGTTGTCATTGTAAATTCTCATGTAGTTTTATATTGGTTGATCAACAATTATCATTTGAGAGAAAATGAATACCGCAATTTTTCCATCCATCCATTTTCCTCCGCTTATCCGGAACCGGGTTGCGGTGGCAGCAGTCTAAGCAAAGATGCCCATACTTCCCTCTCTCCAGACACTTCCTCCAGCTCCTCCGGGGGAATGCTGAGGCGTTCCCAGGCAGGCCAAAAGACATAGTCCCTCCAGTGTGTCCTGGGTCTTCCCCGAGGCCTCCTTCCAGTGGGACATGCCCGGAACACCTCCCTAGGAAGGCACCCAGGAGGCATCCAAAGCAGATGCCCGAGCCACCTCTTGATGTGGAGGAGCAGCGGTTCTACTCTGAGCTCTTCCTGGGTGACCGAGCTCCTCACCCTATCTCTAAGGGTGCGCCCGGCCACCCTGCAGAGGAAGCTCATTTCGGCCGC